TTTCTAATTTGTGCAAAACCTTTAGCGGCTGTCAACAAAATTACCTAATAATTATTTCTCTTTTGAATGACTATTTTCTGAGCATATTGAAAATGTACTTACGGAGGTGTCTCCCCAACCAGAAGCAAGTACAGGTAATCCTGCTCCCTGCTCACGGTTGGCTTCGGGCAACACAATAGGCTGGACAAGATTGCTGAGCTTGAGAGGAGAAGACAGCTACAAGAAAATGTCAATTTTAAATTGTTAATATTGATAACTTTATTCGTAGAGAGGTTGTGCTTTCGTGCAGCGTAAACAGTAATTATAAGGTTACATTTTACAGGACGACTCAGAATAAATGCTACAATCTTTTCTGAACTGTAAAATGTCGAAGATGATCACATTTTGCCAATAAACTTGGGTTAAATTTCTTATAATGCAGTTACATATGTGAGATTTGCCCCTAATTGTCAGTTAATTACCCAAGTATCGTGTTTTGATGCAAGAGACTTTGTGTAGCTGCCAAACATAAACACATGAGGTGTCTAACAGTCAGAGAAAATTGTCATATGTGTAACTATTAAATGCAGTTTCTCACCGCACGTTCACTGGCGAAAAGTGATCATCCTCTATCTTACTTCATCCCCTAGAAGTTTGTGACATTTATTCTGAGACACGTATATTTTTGTTCAGGGGTAGGTTCACCATTCAGAATGGTTATGGAACATTATTGCAAGATCTTGCTTTTGCATTACTTTTACATTTCATTGTTAAATATTCTTTACACTTCTGTCCGTGCAATAGGGGTTCACCTTTATGAGACCGATGTCATTCTTTTTGTAGCTGGTGGAGTAGGATGGGTGGACGACCAAACGAGACACCTTGCTTACGTCGCCTCCAGCGTTCAAGGTAGTGGTGCCACTCACAACGACGATGGAGCTGGTAGAATACCTGTGAAGGTACATACAGACAAACATTAAGTAACTAAAAGCGAGGCCATAATGAAAGACCCGTGATCAACTCTACTGCCCTAATCCGAAGTTGTAAATTCAGGACTGAAAGTTTTTTCTGAATGTATTGCCTTTGAGGATAAATCGTAGATGGTAGGTACAGATGAACCAGCACAAAATTGCAAAGGACAAGTTCGTAATTTCATTATTTTCTAAAAACAGTACGAATCAGTTCTCTGTACTACTGTGACAACACTACTAAAAACATAGCTCTTGAAGAGCAAGTTACCAAGAAGTGCTCTAGAAGTGATTGCAAATTACTACGAAACCTAACTTTAACTCCATAGGTTAGGAAGTTTCGTTAGTTTGGTTTCCCCTAATTAAAAAATAAGAATAAGTATTATGTGTACAAATAGAAGTTTCTCGAAACATTATTTTGTTAAATTAATATACCCAACAATGCAGTGAGCAGCGGTGAGGATCCAGTTTTCGTTCACGACAGATCCTCCACACAAATGGCGGTTGGTGCTAGCTCTTCTCAGGGAGACCTTGAATAACATCGAACAAAACAAGATTTTAAATGTCACTTCTTTGGCTGAAAGAAGGTTCGTTATTTTGTTTATGTCAATAAAAGGAAGTGCAAGAAGAGTCGTTAAGCCACTTGCTAGGAACTAACTTTTCTCTAAAATTGATCGGTAAAGACTTCTAAATTCATTAAGACTCGTCAAATCAAACAAGAGTTTTAAGTGGCTCAGGGCATCAATTGATATCGTTACTGTGCCACTGATCGGCAGGCCCTAGAGTTCGAGTCTTGTCGGTGTAAGGGTTTTCGACTCTAGCTAGAAAGCTCGGTCGAATTCAGACGCTTGTCTGGAGGAGAATTCAAGTTGCCTGGTGTTCTGATCGGTAGTTTCCCGTCGTTTTTCCGGTCTACACCAGGCGAATGCCGGAGCAATACCTACCCTAAAAAACGGGCCACGTACCGCACGCGATTTTTCCTTCTCCTTCCTTGTGCTATTTTGATCCTTTACATACACACACTTACCCTTTCATGCATTACAGTAACACACATGCTAGGAGATCAGACACGAGCTTAGAGCTTGTCCTGGCTGGGCGGTGCCCAGCTGGTTGGGAAAAAACTCGCATGCGGACTGGCCAAATTCGTCATCCAGTGGGGGAAGATAACTGCCTCCTCCCGAAATAAAAAAAAACATGCACTACACGTACGAGACTAAATACCTTAGCAGTAGACGCGTCTGGTATCACTAATGAATCAATCAAATCAAAACTTCCGGGAAACATTCTTATGTACATATTTTTAAACTTCATATTTCATGGACTTCCTAATAAACTGATTTCATGAATCTATAAGTATTCACGTATTCATTTCGTTTTGAAATATTGAAAATACCTTCAATTGGAGTACTTACGATAGTCGGGATCTCACCAACAGCAGCATTTTCGCCACCAAGCAGTCGGGAATTGGGAGCCCCTGAAACACGAAACTAGTGATGTTACAACAGCATCTCGCATTATTTATAAATTTTGAATTTTTTCAAAATTAAGTGAGTCGAGCGAAAATGAAAACTGCGCTATTTTATAACAGTACTTTTCTATATCCGCGTGGCAAAAATAAACGAAAGCATTTTGAGATGTTTTTGATAAGAAATGTATATAAAGTGTCTTTATAGTAAGCAAAAATTTCCCGAAAACTACTAATTGTGAATAACCTTATTTGAATACCAGATTTTTTTGAAAGTATTTCGTTAAGGAAAAGAAAGAATTTTGTTAAGGCTCAATGTAAAGTACTTCCAAAAATAATATATCCTTTTCAAATTCTCAGGTCCTTGCATTCGTATGAATTGTTCGCAGATTATCATTTTTGGAGATTTTTTTCTTGTGATTGGTTTATACGCTAATATTTCTACTTAGTTCACATTATTCAGAGAGAATGAGTAATGAATTAAACAATTGCCACATTCATTTACATAATAAAAAAGTGCATTTTTTTCGTTTGTTCAATATGAAATTTTGATATTTAAAAAATATAAATTAAATGTAAATAAAACACATTAATATATAAATTTGTGTTTCGCTGTCTTTGATAGACTCTATAGAATTGTGCATAGCTCTCTTTGACAGACAGAGAAAACATTGATTTTGCGGTAGTAAATGGGTCAAAATATTTTTAAATCCGATATTTTTCATTGTATTTATGCCATGGCCAGTTATGGCTCTCAGCGGAGTTTCATTAGTTAATAATAGAGATCTTATTTCTGATGTTTGATGGTTAACAGAAAATGTAAAATATTGTGTTGTATGGTTTAGATTTTTCCACATAGTCCCTTCACAATTAAGAATTATTAATTCACAATTAAGAATATATACAGTTTTCTGAAAAGTATGTAACATGAAACATGTTTCTAAAGGACATTGTTTTATATTATTATCTTTTGGAAAATCAACTTAATTGTTTTCACCATCCGTAAGAAAAAGACAGGAAGAATAATAGAGTGAAACATATTGCAAGGGCCGCTACACGAAGAACTCTCCAAGGTCCTCGCAAAGGCTAATCCAACCTTGAAGATAACACTTCCATTTTTTCAATGAAAAAGGAACATCAATTTTGGATGAATATATTGGTAGTTGTACCTTTTTTAATTTAGACAATATTTTTCGAATTTTTAGGCCGCTCGTTTTTCGGACAGAGAGTTATATCTAGTTTAATGCTAGAATTTGTTAAAGATGATTCTAACTCAAATTTCGAAGCTGAAGGGGAACTTAAACATTTTACTCAAAACGAGTTCTCATTTAGGGAAAGGGATTTATGTTGTTTGAAGAATGAAACACAAATTGTTGGATCAAGAATCAAATTTTAAAATATATATATTGTCGCCAAAGATTTTAGTCTTTTTGTAGAAACACATTGAGGAAAAATTAATTTCTTACTTCTTCAATGGAGATACTGTATTATGAGGTCCTTTGGCTGCAAACGACATTTGCAAACTGTATTGAGATTTTATTCACTTGGAATTTGATTCAGGGCGTGTATTATCTAGAATCAGAACTTTTAATAATTCTTCCAAGAGAAAATTCACAGTATTCTTGGTTCACAATGACAATTTACCATAAGAATAACTTATATAACCATTATATATCAGTTGAGATCTATTTGCTGTTCATCTTTAAGACTTTTACAAAGAGATCTATTTGTTGAAGTTCAAAGAAATTCAACTAAGTATATCAATGTTTTCTTGGTTGGTGGAAACTTTAAGATATTAACTATTTTGTTTGGACAAGAGCCAGAAGTACTTATGGTGGCCTGTAGGTCAGTTATACCAGATGTGTCAATTAATAAAAAAATTATCTGGCCTCTTGACGATGCTCTCAGGTCAGACGCAAAAAAATATCAACAAAAGTTTATTGCTCCATGTAAATACTCTTACCTCCAATGTATATAAAGCTAGGGCTATGGAAACAACCGTAAAATCTCGCCCCAAAAGATCAATAATGTTTCTCATATTTGTGTTTTTTGGTTTCTTCAAACCAAATTATTGCACTAACTCTTTACTGTAGAGAAAATTGTTGAAATTATTTCCGAAGATACATACCGAGACAGGCACCAGCGAAAAGAAGAATCAAGCCAAGCTTGTACATTTTTACTAAAGAGTAGCTCATCGTCGAAACCTTAGCCTTATATAAGTATTTTGGAGTGAACTTCGAATAGTAATTATGATTATGAGATAAATGTCAAGTAGTCTTCTTAAAGCAGATATCGCTATATTTTCCCCTCTTATGGTGAAAAATCTCTTAAAGCTACTAAGCATATACGTGACTTATGTATGTTTCTACTACACAACGTAATGTATGATGTATGTACGTGTGTATGTATTGAGACGTGACGGTGAGTTTGGTATCAGATGGGCGTGTTCGGAACACCGGCGGTGGAAAAAGAGATGGACGGGCTTCGGTTTTGATTTATTGATTGATTGTTTTAGTGACGTCAAGTAAAAAAAAGGAGAGCGTCATTAGTCCCGTAAGTGTAGTGTATGTTTTGCTCGGAATATAGCGATGGTCTTTCCCTCGCTGTACGGCGAGATCGGCGCCTAGTGAGGTTTTCCCCAACCAGGTATCTCCCGCCTGTGGGGCCCAGCCGGGATAAGCTCTAAACTCCCGACCGGTCTTCCGACAAGTTATGTTCTGCGTGTTAGCGTGTGTGTGTGTAAAGGGAGAGGATAGGGCAAGGAAGAGGTAGGAAAGCGCTCGGTCCGTGGTCCGTTTGTTAGAGTGCTGCTCCGGCATTCGCTTGGTGTTGATCGTATAAACCACGGAAAACTACCGATCAGAGCAGCCGGCCGCTAGAATTCTCCTCAAGAGACCTCCAGACTGTGGCTGAACTCGACCTAGCTGACAAGTTAGTGTCAAAAATCCTGCCACCATCGTTACTCGAACCTGGGACCTCCCGGTCGAAGGGGTTGCAATGGTATCAGTTGATGCGCTGAGCCACCTCTCCCCGTGAAAGAGCTTCGGAGGGGTTGTGTAGTAGGGTGGGGTGGCGGGGAGGCAAGGAGGGGTAGTGCAGACTGTAACACAATTGGGTAGTCGGTGGTGAAGGAGGAGCGAGCGATGAGCCCCAGTCTAGTGGGAAGACGACGCGTGGCTGCCGCAACGGCCCAGCTCAAAGTCTTTCAACTCTCCATCAAAATCAGAGACAGAGTTGGAGGGTGCTACTACAGGAGGCACTAGAGTCGCCGGCTACCGCAGCAGGTTAGGCTTGCCAACATCCGCTTATAAAAATTGGCTAATTTGTGCTAAATAGAAAAGTGTATTTTACTCGTAGGATATACATGTGAGAAACCGGTAAAGAGACCTCTAACGTCAGTGCTATATTTTGTAACATGCAGCAGAATTTGAGCCTGCTTGTGAGAACCCACGCTGCAGCCTCGCATGTTTCAAGTATCTTTGGCAGCAGTTCGTACTTTAGTGCCTGTAAGAAGGGGCTACAGAAGAGCGCGCCACTGTAATGGTCTCTACCAGGATACTCGTGTATGGGAATTGAAAGGCCGTGGGCTAGGCCTTCGCAGGCGTAACCCCCGCGCCTGTCTATCGCTATGCGTCCACGACGCCGCGCGCCTGCCTGTCACTGCTGTAATGCCCTCGGTTGGGTCATCGCAGCCTTCAATTATTCCTATAATAAATAAAAATAATAATAATAATAATAATAATAATAATAATAATATTCATATTATACTAACTACAGTATATTTTATTCCATTAGAGCCACATTTCCATGTTAAACAGGAGAGGTCATTACAGGTAGAATGAAATTCGTCACCTCTCCTCCATCCTTCGCAATCTTCTTCTCTTCAATTAGATGAACAAATGTTTCAGCTAATTCTTATTTTAGAGTACGACTCTCATTCACTGTGAACTGTTCGTTGGATTCGCTTGGATAACACTATCGATCCATGTGGTCACTCTTAGCTTGTAGAGTTATTTCTTCCCAACGTGTTTGCGATTGTACAGTGTGAAAACTGAAGGCTAGCGTGTTCATGGTGGAGGTTTTGAGCGGATGTTCCTTGGGTGATATGTGAAAAATGGGGTTATTGCCATAAAATGGTGCCAAAAGTAAGATATTTTGCGAAAAGAATGTAAATGTCCGAAGTGTCATTCTCAAATGGAATATACAGAAAGAAAAGGAAGAAACGATAGGCATTTGTGGGCATATGTGATATTCAATTTTATTAGTATCAAAGAGTGAACTTAACAATTTAAGTGCTTTCTTTTAAAAGTGAATGGTAATATTGGGGTGGTCAGACTCAAGGTTGTTTATAGTGAACGCGAAGGCCGAAGGTCCGAGCCTCGTCGTGTCTTAGATCTGGGTGAGCGAAGCGAGAAAACTTGTCTTTGGAAGTAATTTGGCATCGCAATATGACAGGAAGAAAGTGCATGCAAATACATTGCATTGCCGCATAATGAACCGAAAGCGAAGAGACCGAATATTTGTCGGTGTGACTCGTTCTTTTACGTGAACCTTGCGATGAACTAAGAACGAACCAATGCTTCTAATGTCATTTAGCGTAGAAAAACTTGTTATCTGCACAACAAATTTTTGGTAAATTACTTTCTATAACATTCGGAAGGTTGTGTTTAGAGTGAGTTGAAGCTCTGAAGATAGTTCTAAGTATCGTTGAAGATAAAATACTTCTCGTGGACACAAACGAAGGAAAATTTTGCAATTGAAATTGGGGTGTAATTTATTACAGCCCCAAAATCTCTCGTAGCCCTATGATCATTCCCGATTTTAGGCCTTTAGAATCTTAATCAGTCAGTCTGTGTTCACAAATGATGTTAATGATATTATAACCTAGGGCATTAGCGTCATTCAACAGCGTCTTTCAGCATCACTCAACTAAAGCGTTATTCAAATATAGCGTCATACAACATCTCATCGATCCATGTGTTATGGGATCGATAGTGTTCCAAATATGCGAACAGTTGCAGTGACATTTATAAAACGAAATGGAAACGAGTGCCACAACAGCACACACTTTCTCGTATTTTTTGTAACTGCTCCTCAGTATTATACTACTACACGAACCTGAAAAATTGTTTTTAACAAGCACAATTTTGTTCACGCCGATTGGAATCATGCCGAATGCCTATACCTCACACCAAATTACACAAAAAATAATATTTTCGAAAAAGAAATACATGACTTCATTTACAGATCTGTGTTTAAAGAACAGATTTAATTAATAAAGCGGGAGATGCTTCAACCCTTATTTTCTCGCATACTGTTTAAAACTGCTTCGCAGTATCACGCAAAAATTTGCGTTGACATCCACTTACTACACACAGTTACGTACACTTACAAGCCATCTTACAAGCCTGGAGACCGGTCGGGAGCTTAGAACTTATCCCGTCTTACCTGGGGGGATTTCTCCTTCCAGTGGTGAAGAAATACCACCGCCTATTGGAAGAAAACATTCCCTACACTAAGGGGACTAATGAACATAGCAGTTGCCTTGCCCGGAAAATCAATCAATAAGTCAACAACATATCATATACTATTACCTCTTGTTTAGTGCAAAGAATGAGAAAATGGATAATTTAAAATGAATTAAGTAGATTTGGAGCTTACCTGCATTGGTCATTGTTTCCTTGAAATGGAAAAGAATAACGAGGGTTTCGTCATAGTAGAAAAGTTTACGACCAATTAATATTGCGACACCCACGCACAAGATGCATCAGATATGAGAGTTGTGAATTCTATTATTGCATTCTATCTCATTGTGAAATCATCCTTTATCTTTGTGGTGAAAGTAAGCGTACTTCCTTTCCTGGTATATTCGTAAAATTGTTGACGAAATAGCTCGACATATTATTTTGAAATGTTTCTATTTACTTTAAGAAGTTTGTTTAATGGGGCAATATACCTATCTTTATGAACTAATGTCCCTATCCATTGATGCTCCAACCCAAATACTTGTTGAAAAAATTTTAAGTATATACTTATGGTTTAGTTCCAGTCAAAGATAATGTGTATTTATATATTTATAGATAACTAGCTGAACCCGTACAAACATTTAGCACTTTGTAATTCATTGTTTTAAAAGTGAAAATATCTTCATTATGAATTCAAACTTCAAGTCAGAAACTGAACTATATATTAAAGGATCATCATGGGGGGCTTATTAAGGATCAGTTTAATACTACAAGGATTTCTAGTTTCTGCTCATTTGTGACCACTCTGGTATGGGGTACGAGTCACCAGAAGAGCTAAATCTTGACATAATTCTTCGTTTCGTATGACTTCTGCATCTTTCCCTACACGCTCCCTGATATATTCATCTCGCATGTTCGTTCGCATAATCCTCATATCTCCTTTGCGTATTTACACGTTCTCTCGCATAATCTGTGTTCATTATTAGTTCTCTCATATTCACCACATATTCTCTCGTATGTTCCCGAGCATATTCACTCCATGTTTCCGGCATATTGTATATCCCAGCATGTACCTCAGCACATTCCCCATACGATCCCCTACGTAATTCCTCATATATTCCCAATTATCCCCCGATTTTCCACTGGTGTACTATTATCTGCTCCCACAAATGCTCAGAATCTCAAATACTCCCTTAAATGTTTCCCCGAATGTTTCTTACGTGTTCCAGAACTTGTTAATCTGGAAATTAAACTGGGATTTAAAAAAAATAAGTACTTTTTTTTGGAATACTCATAAATATAACGACAGTGTGCAGTGCAGTGCTTACCCTGCCTAACGAAACGCAAAGCTCTAAATAACTTAGAGTACACATAAGACCGTACAGTGACAGAAAGACTCTTCTCAAAAAAACTGCAAACTCTAAACAAACATACCTTTTTAAATCATTCTTTTAAAAGATAAAACATCTTCATATTGGTTTCTGTTTCAGCGTTTCTGTCAATCCATGCTATAGAGTGACGAAATCATCAAAAATGCCTCTGGAGCTTGAGGCGACCTAGCCTTCGAAATAGCTAGGTTATTGTAGTGTGTGTTCGTTTCTAAAGTAGTGGTCGCCAACTTTATCGTATTTATAATACGATAAATTATCGGTAAATAATTATCGAAAAATAATTATCATTGCATTTGCTAATTCATTTCAATAAATAGTATATGTTCTATCAAAAGTTCTGCTGGTTTAAAATAACGTTCCATTTATATTTTGACACTTTATTTGTAAGAGTTAATAAGAGTAATATATCAAAGACGGGTATTAGTAATACTTTTAATTAAATCTCTGCAAATTCACCATTCGCTTTTATTTATTTCACTTTAGAAATTGCCCTTGAGGCACAATTACAGAGAATATTCTTTTTAAGATGTTATAATGGAATGGTTTTGAATTGTTTTGGGCGTTACTGAGCGTTGTCCGCGATCCAGTCAAGGAAACTGGACACGCGAGTGTACACATCAGGCACGCCTGTAGCGCAGGGCTCTCCCCAGGACACGATGCCAACGATGACGTTGGAGCCAGCTTCCAGCAGAGGGCTGCCGGAATCACCCTGTAGGGGACAAACAAACAACAGTTTAAACGGAGTGGATATCTCTTTAAATTAAAACAAGGGGTATAAAAATTTAATGAATGAAATTAAGCGATCAAATATAAAATTATTTCAACAACTCACAATTGAACAACAATGAAAATTAATTACAAAAAAAAAATTTAAAATAAATACGTCGACATCTTCACTTCTCATTTCAACGAAAAAAATGCTTCTTTACACACGTGAAGCTTAAATCTGAGTGTGTGTGTGTGTGTGTGTGTGTGTGTGTGTGTGTATGCCGATTAGATGACCGAAATTGCTAAGGCAATAGTGCCGTAATGGTTTCGGACCAGAAGATCGGGGGTTCGAGTTCCGCCTCGGGCATGGGTGAATTTGTGAATCTCTGTATGAATGTGTCGTCCTTTCACCCCTCATTATTATCATGGTTTCATCTTCCATATTCCCCGAGCTAACAACCCCGGGGAATAAAAATCGGACTTAACTAAATGCTGGTCCCCAATTAGTTACATGCACCTGCCACCGCGATTATGATACTGAGCCACGCTAAATGCAGGATGCATGCATGCGTGGTCCTAGTCGGCCGATTCGCGAGCAGAATAAATTTAAGTTTATTTTTAAACTAATAAAAATCTTTGACATCCTTAGTTCGTGAATTATACTTACATGGCATACTGAGCGGCCTCTTTCGCTGCCGGCGCACACATTGGAGTCATAAACGAGGTAGTCATTAACTGCACCATGTGCAGCCTGACATTGCCCATTGGACACCACGTTCAAGTTGAGTTTCTGAAGGTTGTTGGGTGCAGACCCTCCTGGGTACTGAAAAGAGTTGTTTTAAATTATAATTTCAACTGAACTAGAGAAAAATTAATCTCGACATTTTATATAAAACACATACTATATCATCTTCAATTTTTTATGTATGTATTTTGCTGAAGATTAGGGGTCATGAAATTTCATACACATTTAATATGTTGTTCAAATATTTATACACCACCTACATTTTTTATTCATTTATTTGATGTTAATATAATTATTGTAAATAACTCCACGTAACTGCGAACGTATATTTTGAATTTTAGAGAATAGTTGTACAGGCAAAAAAAGCGATTTTGAAGGAAATGCACATTTTCAGTGATCCTGTAACAATTAAATAAACAGTAGTGTCAGTTCACTTAAAATATAGGGAATAGGCCATACACATACATGGTGTACGGGGAGGAAATGTCGAAATTTCGAAAATAAAGTTTTAAAACAATTTTAAGCATATTTTGTCTAATAAACCACTTGGATATTCCGACGGCTAAGACGCTATAAGCACTCAAAATTAGTTTTAAAAAAAGCTTTCTAGGTACAAATTTGCATTGCAAAAGCTAGAAACACTCTGGAAACATTGTAAATTGCTTGTTATTTACAAAATAAAGAAAAATTAATCCAGAAATAAAAAAGCAGTCGAGTAGTAATGTTTCTGGGGTATTTTTATACTTCTGAAATGCAACGTCTTTCCTAGAAAGCATTTTTTCAAACCATCTTTTAAGTGCTTATTGCGACTCAAGCATTCGGTATATCCCAGTAGTTTATTTCACAAAATATGTTTAAAATTGTTTCACAGGTTTATTTGTGCAGTTTAGCCATTTCTTCCCCAGACATTCTGTATATGTTTTTCAGAATAGACATGATTCGATAGATTTGGACTCAGCTTGCAGTATTGCAAATTTGAAGATAATATTTATTTTTTTTATCACATCATTTTGATGGCGACATGAATTCTGTTTATTAAAGAGACCCATTTAAAATGTTGAAACTTCACACAAGTATTAGAGACAGTTAACGCCGTAACTACATGGAAGTCTCTTGTTCGCTTTGAAGCATGATTACTTACGCGTATTGCAATATTGCAACAAAAAAGTAGTAATTTATGCAATTAGTTTATGATGTCAAGATTTATTGAATGAATATACGTTGTATTGCATGAATAACATGTTTTCAAAACGAGCGACGTTGTGAACGAGTTTTTACATTTGTACGAATGCATTAAAGCAACATTATAAACGATATGCATTTTTTTATTTAACATACAACTTTTTTATTTAACAGCATTATAAATTTATAAAATAATCAAATTTAATATTGCAAAACAACTTTCTTGTGACGTCTGGGTTATTTGATACCTTTGCAAGAAAACGATAGTCGGCTGTTCCGTTTACCTCTACCACCCCACGATTCTCTCGCTGCGATTGACTGAATGTGCAATGTAAAATGCTAATACGTCATTATACGTTTCGTAAAATGTCCGATTATGAACGATTTCTTGCAACAGAAAAGGTAGTTTATAATACTAAAAATTCACTTACCGAGGTAACGCCCCAGCCGACGGCGAGTACTGGCAATCCTGCTCCCTGCTGACGGTTGGCTTCAGGCAACACAATGGGCTGGACAAGATTGCTCAGCTGGATAGGAGAAGACAGCTACAAAGGAAGACAAGAAACACATATAATATCCTATCAACAAGATTAAATTACTAATGCAGTTTATTTGTTATTTCACTTTATTTTTTAATATTGAAGAGAGTTGAATAATGAATTCATGAATAGCTGCTACAACGTGACCATTTTGAATCGAAATTTAAAATGGTTTCATCCAATAAACGTGCGATATTAACAGGTAGGAACAACAATCTCAGAGTCATAAATTTCAGCTAAACGGAATACTAGACGAAGTGACAGCGTATAAGTCTATCGATACTGTGATGAATGAAGATGAAGTTGTCAATTACTCAATGGGATTATTGAATTCACTGGACTCGCCAGGTATGCCAAAGCACATTCTAACATTGGAATTGGCGAATATGGTATCATTCTTCTCCGAAATATCAATCAGCAAGCACATTGCATCGGTACAAGACATTCGGTGAAGAAGACGATGAATAATGTCATTGAAGATCTAATTTTGAATGGGAATTTCAAGAAGGGAGATGTACTATTGACACGTATTCCAATTATCCCAACATAAATGCTATTTCAATCCAAACTTTTATAATTTCTGGTGCGACACACCTTTGCAATGATAATCAACAAAACACAAGGACAATCGCTCTAAGTATGTGGGGTAGATTTGGAGAATCCGTGCTACTCACATGGACAACTATAAGTAACCAGATCCGAAAACGTCCTAAAACCTGATTTATTCGTGTACGCAACAGACGGAAAAACAAAAAAATCTTGTTTCCACAAGCACTTGAATAAATAAATGGAATAAAAGGACACCTTGAAATTTTTTCCATATAAAAACGAATAAGTTTGAATAAAAATAATACAATATAAGTTGTAGACTATGTGATCAAATGTATCCGGACACATCCAAAATGGTGTTATGGTGTGGTCGTGTTTTTTATGGAGAGGGATTGCGACCCTTGTTTATAGTCTCACTCTCACGGCACAAACCTACGTTGATGTTTTAAACACCTACTTGCTTCCCACTGTTGTAGAGTAATTCGGGGGTGGCGATTGCATCTTTCAACACGACGCCTATTCATACTGCACGACCTGTGGCGGAGAGGTTACACGATAATAACAACCCTGTAATGGATTGGCCTGCACAGAGTTCTGACTTGAATCCTGTTGAACACGTTTAGGATGGTTTGGAACGCCGACTTCGTGGCAGGCCCCACCGACCTACATCGATACCTCTCCTTTGTGCAACACTCTGCGAATTCCCCAAGAAACCATCCAGCACCTGATTGAAAGTACGCCTGCGAGAGTGGAAGCTGTCGTCAAGGCTAAGGGCGCGCCAACATTCTATTGAATTCCAGCATTACCGATGGAGCACGCCACAAACTGGTATGTCGTTTTCAGCCACATGTTCGGATACTTTTGATCGCATTGTGTATGCCATCATAACGAGCTTCCTTGATTTTCCTTTCTTCTGAGATCGCAGCAACACGCGACGGGTAAGCTAGCTGTTAATACGTTTCACCTGCAGGAGGCCGATGTCATTCTCCAAGTCCTGGTAGTCGAATCCGGAGTGAGTGATGACGCGGGACACTCGGTTGACGTTGCCTCCGGCGTTCAAGGTGTTCGTACCACTCACAACGATGATGGAGCTGGGAGAAGATCTGAAAAAGGATGTTCAGGTTGAAGTGAATAGCTTCCGGCAATGTAACTCTGTCAGATGGTTGCTCTCCGGCAGAGTTGTAAATCTGATAGTTGTGTAAGGTTTGAATGATTTCAATCTGAAATTATGGCGTATAAACACAGCCAACTGTCAAGTATCCCGAAATCGCCGAGGAACAGTATATCATTTCCCCAGCTGCAGATTTATTATTTTCGTGGCCCTAAGCTGAAATATGTTGAGGTCCCCCTTTTTACTGACAAAATATTGAAGATTTTTACATTTTTACTAAAATTAATTAAACAATTAAAATGCCTTAAAATAATCATTTTATTCAAAATTTAAATTTAATAATTGATAATTATTGTCTGTAACATTATATCTGTATGTGAAACTAGCTGCAATATACGTCAATTCTATATTAATCATAAAAAAACTGATCAAAATGCGATTTTTTGTTCACAAAGTCAGAAATAGTATCGTTGAAAGGTAAAACCTCAGAGCTTGTCACTTTGACTGAATGTTGTAGTTACTGAATTTAGATTGTCTTGTCTAGTTGTAGCTATATACTTGTTTTTAATCCTTTTAAGTTTACTAAATGATCATTAAAATGTACAATTTCTAATCATTAGCAATTAATTAGTTTAAAAAATTGAAAGGTAACCTCAAAGGGTCACTCAAACCTCAATGTTTGTTCTCGATTAAGTGAAACGTCGGATATATGAAAAGAGATCATTTGAATCAGCCAGTCAAAACGCTGTGATAGATTTTGTCACACACTCGTCAAGTTCAAAACATAATATACGTAATGAAAATGCCGATATTACAATAAATCTGGTTTTAAATCCAAAAGCTTGTTTATCAAACGTATTTACTTTTTATTTGTTTACATAACTAATTAGAAATTTGTATGAGTATACTTTTATAAAATGTTTTATCAAATATACAATTTTATTTTATAACTTTTGGGACCCCGGACTCTGGGGTCCCAAGCTGTAGTTATTTAGTTTAACGGTAAATCCGCTACTGCACTTCCCAGTGTCCATGAAAGCCATACAAAATTCTCTGAACTTGATTGACGTTGTACCTAAGGCGCGAGAAGATAAATTACGACGTCTTTGAAAGCTGTTATTTTCAAGGTAACAAATGAGTATTTACCTTATTATTTTCTGTTG